GAGAAGGGGACAGGGGTCGGTGAGCGCTCGGCGCGGCGGTGGCGGAGGCGCAGACGTCGGGTGCAGATCTGTCTCGGCGCCAGACGCGGGAGCGAGCCGGGGCGGCGGCGGGGTGCGGAGGCGAGGGCGGGCCGCGGCCGGCAGGCAGCGGTAGCGAGCACGCAGCGAGCAGCCCCGGCCGGGCGCGCGCCGCGCAGCCCCGGAGATGGAGGCCCCGCCTACGCAGGCTAGCCCTTGCCCAACGGCTGCAGGGGTGGGTTTTGTAGGCTATAAAGGACTGGCAAACGCTCGAAGCCCTGCTGGTATCAGGAACTGCGGCTTGGACCACGCCGGCCAAGAAACTGAGCCAGCATTCTCCATGTTGGATTATATGGGCGAGTCTGATATTGACCTCAACACACCCCGGTTCAGTATATGTTCCCCTAGATTTACCCTGATACAATAATCCAGCTGCTGGTGCGACTTTAGGTGAATTCCCGCTTCACTTCTCATACGTAGTCCCAGAAGCCTGGGTTTTCCTAAGCTGAGCAGCAGGTGCCTACTTGGTGCTCAAGTACTCCACCAGAAGCCAAGTTTGGTGGGCACTCGGCCAACCACTGAACACAACAGAAAGTCCAGTTCTGCCTGTGCCCAAGCCTTGGCCTGCCCCGCCCAATGCCTACACGGACTAGAATGTGGAGCTCTCCGGTTCACCCTTGAAGCCTCGTCCATCTTTGCTTCTCAGGTGCTGTCATTAGTCTCAGGCCAGTGAAAACCGCTGGGGCTAGGCCGTCATGGGAGAGGCCAGCAGAGATGAGTATAAAATCCAGTCTTTTGACGCAGCGACTCAGCAGCTGCTGAAGACGGCGCTCAAAGGTGAGCATACCGGCCCTTCTCTTTGGGCAAGAGCTTCGGAGAGCCTGAGGCCCAGAGTGAGGCAATGCCCAAGCCTTCCCTTGGCTCGTTGAGAGTAAGTCACAACCTAATTCTTGAGCTGCGTTCTTGAGCCAGTATTTTGGAGAATGAATCACAGTCATGTTTAAGATCATAAAAGTCTTTAAGAACCCATGAAGGAGAACAGAGTTTTTCTCTCTAAAGCCTTTGCATTCGAGGCAGTCAGAGCCCTTGAATGTGCAGAGCTGCCCGACTTGGGACAGAAGTTGGAGCATCAGCCCAGTGGAGAGGATATGTAGTTGACTGGCCCTATGCCCTTCCATTGTCACAGTCAGGACAGAAGTTTGCCAGAACGATCAGCAATGGCTGTCATGTGGCAAGCTAAACATGTTGGAGAGGCTCCTGTCTGGAGCCTCTGTGTGTGTGTGAGAACACCTGTAATCCCAGCAGATCACAGAGGCAGGAGGATTAGCACAAATTCAAGGCCAAGCTGCTTTACATAGAATGCCTGGGGGAGGAGAAATGGCCCATTGATTTAGAGCACTCTTTGTGGTGCTCTCCTGTAATCCCAGCACTCAGGGGGAAGGAGAAATGGTCCATCGATTTAGAGTACTTTTTGTGGTGCTCTCCTGTGATCCCAGAACTCAGGAGGCAGAGGCAAGTGGATCTCCATGAGTTCCAGGATAGCTGGGACCACACAGTGAGACCCTGCACCAAAACATAAAGAGCATTTGCAGAGGACCTGGAGAGAGAGAGATAGGCTCGTGATTGTTGGTAACCTGATGGCCAGGATCCCACACCTTCTGACCTCCGGTGACCAGGCAAGCACATAGTGTGCATATATACATTGTTGATGTACTTTTTAAAAACTCTTATTTACATTTCTTATATCTTTCTTCCTACTCCACCCCAATCCCTTCCAACACCCCAACACCAGGTAGGAATGAGAAAGGGTTAGTGGGAGGGGGGTGCAGTTCCCTTAGCTGCTTCCTGCTGGTCAGGGTCATTGGGTTCCTTGGAGCCAGTCCAGTCATCATTTCAGGAGATCTCACAACAGCAACCAAGAGCAGCAAGGGGGAAGCAGCAGCAGCCTTGTTCTTTCACAGAGCCTGCACACTCTGTGGGCCCTGTCATTTATTCTCTATCCAGAGTCCTCAGATTTAAACTCTCTGCAGCTGGCAAAGAGCTCCTCTCAAGCCCACATGAGGCAAATAGTCTGCTGCTGTGGACCATCTGAATCAGCTCCACATCCCACACCTGGGACCAGAACAGAAACATGTTTATATCCACAACAACCATACAAAAAATAAATAAATAAAGAATTAAAAAAAAAATTACATGGTGAGCTCCAGGCCAGCCAGAGCTAAATAGCAAGGCTGCCTCAAAACAAAAACAAACAAACAAATAAATAAATGTATGTTGTGGAAGTCTTGGCATTCAGTGTACTCCCAGAAAATAAAAGATGTGTATCCTAAGAAACTACACGTTTACTTTGGCCTCATAAACCTACAGTCATTTATTTTGTTTGGCACAGGATTTCTCAGTGTAGCGTTGGCTGACCTACAACTTAGAGGTCGGCCTGTGTCTTCCTTATAAATACTGGGATAAAAGGTGTATGCCACAATAATAATTAAACTATTTTTTCTGTGTGTTCTTACTTGTCTCCATGTGAACCGTGCATATGCCATGCCTGGTGCCTGTGGAGGCAAAGGGATGTCAGATCCTCTGGAGCTGGGGTTCAGCTGTGAACAGCCAGTGTAAAAGCTGGAAATCAAACCTGGGTTCTCTGAAAGAGCAAGCGCTCTTAACCACTGAGACCCTGCTCCAACTCCCTATTTTCTGATTAGGCAACTAGGACCCTGACAGTGAGCGCCTCCCTAGGCATGGTTATAACCACTTTCTTTGGAAAATGTGTTTTTATTGGTTTGGTTGCTTTGTGACCAACCTTTGGTTTCACACATTAGGCGTAGTGCTTGATGCCTAATTACACCCTGTACACATAAGCTATTTTTTTTATAGACAGGGTCTCACTATGTAGCTCTGGCTGACCTGTGCCTGCCTCAAAAGTCCCAGGATTATAGGTGTGCACCACTCAACCAAGCTTTCTTTTTTGAGACAGTCTCAAGTAGGCCAGGCTGTCCTGAAACTCTGTATGTAGCCCAGGGTAACCCTGACTTCTTGATCCTTCTTGCTTCTGCCTCCTGAGTGCCAGTGAGCTGGCTTTCCCTTCGTCTCTCAGCATGTGTTGGGAATGCTGTTGCAAATACTGAAAGTCCTTGGGTGTGATGGAAAAACAAAACCCACCTTCAGTCCTTAGCAGATGGCGGCAAATGTGAGTAAGCAGGTAACTGTAGACCCCCTCTTGTCTCTGCCCAGATCCAGGTGCTGTGGACTTGGAGAAAGTGGCCAATGTGATTGTGGACCATTCTCTGCGGGACTGTGTGTTCAGCAAAGAAGCGGGACGGATGTGCTACGCCATCATACAGGTTGGGGGGCTGGCAGAGAGGGAAGCAGCCTTGAGAATGGCACTTCAGGGTCAGGGTCAGGCACAGGCCAGCCAGCTCAAGACACAGGAGGAAGTTACACAGAGAGGCTAGGGTGGGGGGATGGGCAGTGCTCTGCTTACCTCTCTCTCCTGGCTCACAGGCCGAGAGTAAACAAGCAGGCCAGAGTGTCTTCCGGCGTGGGCTCCTCAACCGGCTGCAGCAGGAGTATGAGGCCCGGGAGCAGCTGCGAGCATGCTCCCTGCAGAGCTGGGTCTGCTATGTCACCTTTATCTGCAACGTCTTTGACTACCTAAGGGTGAGACAGGGGCGGCGGTGAGGGCCAGCCAGGGCTAAACAGCAAGACTAGACTGTCTCAAAAACAAAAAAATGTTGTAGAAGTCTAGGCATTCAGTGTACGGCCAGAAAATAAAAGCTGTGTATCCTAAGGAACTACACTCGCACTTTGGTCTCTTCCAGCCTCATAATCATCCTACATTCATTTACTGTTTGGCACAGGACTTCTCAATGTAGCCCTGGCTGACCTACAACTCAGAGGTCCGCCTGCTCTGAGGTGCGTGTACACCACACCTGGCCTGTGTCCCAAGGCCAAGGCTTGGATTGCTCCCCGTGGTCACCAATGCTGCGTCCCTGCTCCTTCTGCTCTCCCCACAGGTGAACAACATGCCCATGATGGCCCTGGTTAACCCTGTCTATGACTGTCTCTTCCAGCTGGCCCAGCCTGAGAGTCTGAGCAGGGAAGAGGAGGTGAGTGGCCATTGACAAAAGGCTGTGGTGGGCACGCTGGCTCTGCGTGTGGACTTGGAGGGCAGTGCTCCTCAGCAAGTGTCTAGTAGGGGCATTGAAGGCCTGTAGCAATCACAAGACAAACCACAGTGTCTGGAATTTATCCAGAATGCAGAGCAGCCAAGGTTCCCTCCCCTGAGGGAGCCCTGTGCTCTGAATGACAAGGGCTGTGGCCAGCTGTGGGCACAGATGGCCCAGAACCAACTGTGAGGCAGGCAGTGAGGAGGGCTAAGCAACAATTTGGAGACAGGCCTGGTTTGGAGTTCAGCCTGGTCAGATGTCCTGGACAAGTTCTTTAGCCCCTGGTGTCAGAGTGAAGCAAGGAGTCACCATGAAGGGCAAAGCGTGGTACCCAGCAGGTGCCGCTACTCCATGCGCCACGTTGGTCCTCCCTCTGGCTGACCAGGTCTTCCCACGCCCCTGCAGGTGGACTGCCTGGTGCTGCAGCTGCACCGGGTTGGGGAGCAGCTGGAGAAGATGAATGGGCAGCGCATGGATGAGCTCTTTATCCTAATCCGGGATGGCTTCCTGCTCCCAATAGACCTCAGCTCCCTGGCCCGGCTGCTGCTGCTGGAGATCATCGAGTTCCGGGCAGCTGGCTGGAAGACCACGCCCGCTGCCCACAAGTATTACTATAGTGAGGTTTCTGACTAAGCTGGGCTCCCATGGGCCTATGGCTGCACACACCTTCCTGTGACACTCTTTTCCAGCTGGCACCAGAATCATTGTCTCTCTTAGTCCCTTCTAGGCTCTTCTATGACTGCCCTCTTCCCTTCCCACTCTGGAGTTAAGAAACCAAACAGCCCTGGTCTTCTAGCTGGAGACTGTCCTGTTTCCGCACTGCCTCCAAGTCCTTTTAGCTTCTTTTCTCCCACCACCTGGGCCAGGCAGGGAAAGGCAACTAACAACCACTGAACTGTGTAACCACTGGTGCAACACTACTTTGGTGCCTCAAGTTTCCCCATCTGTAAAATGGGCAATTACAGCCGTTGGTGGGATATTAAGGGCAAGACACATCGTGTTTGGTACATTTTGCAGAGACGGCTGTGCAGATAAGCTTATATCCTGCAGTCGGTTTTTTTCGTGAGTGGCAATGCCTCACCAGGTTGGGGTGAAGGTTTTCTAATAAATCTTTTCTGAAACCAAATTGCCTCCTTCCATAGCATCCAAAGGTGTACCCCCAGCTGAAGGAAGATTGGACTTGAGTTTCTTGGAGATTTCTAAGGGACCACGTTCTGTCTCTGAGGGTGTGGAGCAGGGGAACAGTTGGATTACCAGGCAACACATGCTCTAAGGCACGGAGTCTTACTGTGTGAGGGGCAGCCTCACTCAAGCTGTACCCCAACCTCTAGCCGGTATGGGAGAGTCGAGGCTCCACAGCATCGAGACTGCAGTACAAACGTCCCTCTCCATCCATAACTTCCTTCCACAACTTTGCAAGGAGGCAGTAACTCAAGTGTTTCTTTTTGCCATCACTTTATTATTGTTACTAGTGTGTGTGTGGGTGCTGCCTCCATGTGTGACTGTACACCACGTGCATGCCTGGTGCCCACAGTGCTCAGAAGAAGGTGTCCAAGTCTCTGGAACCAGAGTTAGGAAAGTTAGTTATGAAACTGCCTCCATGTAGCTGCTGGGAATCAAACCAGGTCCTCTGGAAAGAGCAAGCAGTGCTCTTAACTACTGAGCCTTCTCTGCAGCCCTTAGGTAGTTTTTATGGCGGTGTGTCCTGGTCTTCTCCACCTCTCCTCTCCTGCTACCACCAGCGGTAGTGGGCCAGGGCTCGGTTGGACTCCGCCACCTTATGCAGGTTATATTTCCTCTTGATCACGGGACCCCTGTTATGAAAAGCCTCCAGCAGCTCATGGGACAGCTTCTCTGGCATCAGTGTCCGGCGTGGCTTATTCTCTCGGCACTCTGTGATCATCCACTTCATGGCCATGAATCGGCGCCGTCGTTCAGATAGAGGCGAAGGGACCTGGGCGAGACAAGCTAAAGCTGAGCTGGCCTGACAGTGTGAGGGCTACCAGCTCCCAGAGGTTACCACGTACTTTCTCTGGAATATTCCTGGGATGGGCCCTGAGAACAGAAACCCGCCTCTTAGACTTTCCTTCCTCTAAGTGACATCTGTGACTAAGGAACATTCACTTTGAAAATATTCATTAAGCACTTTGCTTCCTAAGAGAAAGTTTCGCCAAGTCAACAAAAACACCAATTGGGAAAATCCTGCTCCTTGGGCCAAGCCAGCTACTTCAGATCAAGAGTGCCTAAAAATACAACTTTCTGTACAAGAACCATTTGCTTGGCCCCTCTGCATGCCAGGTACTGTGCCTCCACCAAAGACACAAAGAAAAAACTCCCCTAGTCTTAGGAGCTGATACTAAAGGAGAAAATAACCTAATATAGCAATGTAATTTATATGCTGTGATAGGGTGGCTAGTCCAGTTCAATAATGAGTGGTCATGGGTCAAGTACTATTCTAGACAATGGCGAGTAACCAGAGTCCTTTACCAAGAGTTCATACCTTAGGCCCCACGGGACACTGGACAAGTTATTCTCTGCCCTTCCATCTGCTGCCTATGGCCTTTACACTGTGGACCTCAGACAAGGGGATCCTGACAGTCCCATCTCTACGGATTTTTACACTTGGCCCAACTCTAGACCCTCACTCCCCCAACCTGTTTTACATGTAGGCTGCCTGCTTTACTGCCCACTCACCTGGTAGAAACGGCCCCCTTTGAGGATTGGCACCAACCCAATTATGGGCTCACAGTTTTTCAGTGCCTCATGGAAGATCTTATAGGGGTTACGTTCAATGGTGGCTTGTTCCTCTGCAGAGGCAGCACGGTACTTCTCAAACTGCTTCCTTTTCACGGCTTCCAGAGTCTGCAAAGAGAGGGAGAGGCTGCTCAGGCCCTAAGAGTTTACCCAATTCAGCCTGGAGTGTGGGCACACCTGTGACTGCCACCTGGAAGCTGGAGACAGGAGAATCAAGAGTTCAAGGTTATCCTCAGGCACACAACAGTGTTTAGGCTAGACTGTACTCCATGATACCCTCTTTTAGGAAAACCAAGAGTTTAGGTTCCTCCTGCTTTGCTAGGCTTTGACACAAAGAACAGGCTGAGACTTTTTTTTTTCTTTTTTTGTTTTTTCAAGACAGGTTTTCCCTGGCTGTCCTTAAAACTAGCTCTTCAGGGCTGCCCTTGAACTCAGATCCACCTGCTTCTGCTTCCCAAGTACTGAGATTAAAAGTGTTCACCACCACTGTCCAGCCAAGCATTTTTTTTTTAAAAGATTCATTATGTACATAATATTCTGCCTGCATGTATACCTGAATGCCAGAAGAGGGTACCAATTTTCATTATAGATGGTCATGAGCCACCATGTAGTTGCTGGGGATTGAACTGAGGACCTCTGGAAGATCAAGCAGTGCTCTTAACCTCTGAGCCATCTCTCCAGCCCCACAAGCATTTTTTTTTTTTAAGTGTGGGCACAATGGTAAACTTCTGGGTGATTGTACGTAGCTCTGGCTGGTGTGGAACTAGTTGTTGACCAGCCTGATCTCCAACTCAAGAGCTCTTCCTGACTCTGCTTCTTTTAAACTCACTTTGTAGAGCAGGCTGGCCTTGAACCTCATCAGAGATCTGCCTTGTCTGTGCCTCTTGAGTGCTGAGATCAAAGCAACCTGTTGTCTCCTCATCCTGGCCTCTCCGGTGATGGGATTTGAGGTGAGCACCACCACTCCCAGATCTTGGAAATAAAACTTAATGACAGGTACAGAAACCTCTAGTTTTGATGCTAAGGTGGAAAAACCGGACACAGAACAATGCCAGAAAGGGGGAGGAGGGAAGCAAAAGTGGAAAAACCAGGTTTACCTGGGCCATGAGGGATCTGGCCAGTACTTTGTTGCCTCCTTTCATCATCATGTTGGTGAATTTGCTTCATGGAGAAAAACAACATGTTTAGCTTTCCAAGGCTGTATCACGGGCCCCTCAGCAGAAACCTTCTTAGGGCTGTTTCCAGCCCACAGAAGAGCATTTGCAACCTCACCTGATGACAGGGTCGGCAAACACTGAGCTCGTTTCAGTCGCGGCGGCAGCTTTGAAGAGCTGGGTTTTCTTGAGTTCCTGCTCATATTTCTCCTCTTTAGTGAGTTCTGCTACTGGCTTACGGTAAGATTCTTTATCAACCAAGGGATCCCTGAATTGAGGGGCATAGCGGCCACACCTCACTTGCGTTATCCTGGGAGTGGGGAAAGGAGGAAGCAGACAAGAGAACTCCACAAATGAACTTGTGACTCCACAAGTGAATAAGCTTGACTTAACAATAAGCCTGTTTGCCATCACGCTGACGAGGGACAGTAGGGCTGGGACCAGCAGTAGTTGTGACTCTTGTCCCAAAAGGTAAGAAGCCCTCTCCGACATTGGCTACTAAAACGTGTTCCTTTGCAAACGCTACTGAATCAGCTCTCCTCCAATCGCCTAGGCACTTCTAGTTCTGAAATCTCGGGACAGAACCAGTCTAGATCAGCCTAAGCTGTCAAGCAAGGGGCAAGCTACTGAGCCCTCAATCTGGCCCCGAGTATGTGCTCTCCCGCTCCAGGACTCAGCGCGGCTTGTCTGCGGCTCCTTTACTTTCCCCAGGTACTCCCGTAAAGGCCCGAGCGGTGCTCCCCGCTACCAGTTGCCTTCTCACCCTGGAAGGTTCCAGACAGCACGCCTCACTCCCAGAGCCAGCCCCGACCACCGACACGCTGCGTGCAGTGCGGGGGCAGCCATCTTGGCCGGCTACAAGGACCTCAGAGGGCTGCCCACAGCGCGCCTGAGTGACAGGATACAAGTGAAAAACTGCACAGTTTACAAAAGAGTGGCTTTTACGTCAGTGTTTCCCTCCGAGGAAGAAGCAAGAAAACATGCTCGTCCTCTCGGCATCCTACACAGTCTGGCGCGCCTGTTGACAGCAGCTGTCAGGCCCCCGTGCAGGCCCCGCCCCCGGCCGTCTCGCGCAGAATCTCGCGAGGTTTGAGGGCGCTGGGCCGGACCGGGTGGCTGCAATATGGCGGAGGCGGAAGGGGAGAGCCTGGAGTCCTGGCTGAGTGAGTATCCAGGGTCACTTCTACCCTACCTCCAACCGCGGGCCGCCCTTCTCCCCACTTCGGCACAGGCGGCGGCAGCGGCGTGTGGCAGTCGGCACCCGACGTCGCCTCGCCTCGGCGCGAGCGCCCCGCGTTCACACCCCTTCGCGAGCAGGGCCCCTTCCCGGCTGCGCGTCCCCAAGCTCCCGCGGACGACACCTGCAGCTGGAGGTCCAACAGGCCCGGGAAAGCGACAGCCGAGTTCTTCGGGCTGCCAGGCAGGCGTGCTGGGGAGGTTGACGTGGGATTGCCCCCCCGCCTGTGCTGTGGGACCTTACGCCCGAAAGCCCCGTGAATGGGAAAGCTCTGGATTTGGACTGGTCCCTCTGCGAGTGTTGAGTGCTGCCACCCGTACACGCATAGCTGGTAGCTTCTAGATAGTGACCCTGGACGCGATGTGCCCGCCTTTCTCAGTGAGGATGCTTGAAGGGAGAATTATTTTCTAAAGAGGACTACAGGGAACAGAGTACCACATGGCTTGCTGAATTATGTATTGAAGGGAAACACACAGCTAGATAACCCGCTTTTGCGTAAAACAAAGAGCAGGGTGTAGTTGTTGCTGTAGCATGTGTTGTTATCATTACTAATTTACATTGCTATGAAGGAATAAGGTTTAACATTAGCAGGCAGTTTGTGCTTAGTACGGATTAACAAGGCTGGTTACTTACACTTTACTGAGGGTTAATAAGTTAACTTTACTAAAGGGTAGCCCCTTAAATGGAGACAGAAATTAAATAAGATGCCTGCATAGAGCCTTGTGTGGAGGTGAGGACAGTCTCCAGCCTCTTGGTTGTCTTGACCGTGGCCTTCCAGTTGCCTGTGGTCTTCCTTAAGAAATGCTCTTCAGGAGATTGAAATTAGGCTTAAAGGGGAGCTACATCCCCAAAGAGAAGAAAAGTAAGATTACGTGTGCGAAGTCTGCAAGCCACAGAGCCATCTCCCTATTTGGAACAGTTTTCCGAGGAGTGCTCAGTACTGGGTTCCAGACGTTGCTTAAAATCATTTACGGGGGGTAAATGATTTTACCGCACAGTCAGCAGTCCCAACTGTCCTGGGTGATGAGGCAGGGCCTGCCTGGTCTGCAGGTGCGTTCAATGCAAAATGAGGCAAACAGTGAGACCCTGTCTCCCAAAGTAAAAACGCGGTTAGAGTTCATTTTAGAGCATCAGCTGTCCTGAAACTCTGTGTGGACCAGGCTGGCCTTGAATTCACAGAGATCCTCCTGCCTCTGCTTCCTGAGTACTAAGACTAAAAGTGTGGGCCACTACACTTTACTTCGGATCCCATTCTTTTTGTTTGTTTTGTTTTTTGGAGATAAGGTTTTTCTGTATAGCCTTGGGTATTCTGGACTCTTTTTGTGTGTGTTGGTGTTTTGACTGCATGTATGTTTATATGAGGGTGTTAAATCTCCTGGAACTGAAGTTACAGACAGTTGTGAGCGGCCATGTGGGTTCTGGGAATTGAACACAGGTCCTCTGGACGAGCAGCCAATTGCTCTTAACCACTGAGTCATCTTTTCTGGCCCCCAAATCCCATTCTTGAGAGATGAAAATAAATAACATTTTAGACCAAGTATTCCACCTGCAAAATAGGTTCTGTTGCCACAATACACAGAAGACATTACCGAGCAGCTGGGTAATAGCCAGAGTAGAATTGGTTCACTGCATAGATAGTGGCAGGAAAATTGGAGTAGTTTAAATGACTTAAGCTGTACTTAGTAAGGTTGATTTATTTCTTTTTGTGAGACAGGGTCTCAGGAAGCCCAGGCTGTCCTCAGACTTGCTATGAAGCTGAGACTGGCCTTGAACTCCTGATCTTCCTTCTCTATCTCCCAACTGCTGTAATTTCAGATGTGCACCTTTTTCCAGTTCTTCTGACTGAATGGTGAGACTTGTACCAATATGAACCAGTCAGTGCAATCCTTGGTTTGCCTGAATTACTGCAGTAGCCTCTCCTGTCCATCTAATCTGCCCCTAGCCATCCCCTGTCTTTTTCTTGGTAGCCTTCTGATCTTTCTCCACCAGCACATGTTGTTCTTATTAACACTGAAGCTCTACTCCCCTTTGCTCATTACATGTTTCAAGCCCATCTCAGATTTTTCTTCCTCACAAACCATCTCTTGATGACTTCAGCCGTCTCTCAGGTCCTGCTTGGCACATACAGCTAGTGTTTAGGAAGCCACTGCTATGTGGAGTATTGTGAGAAGTTTATGTTAGCTGGGCATAGTGGTGAATGCCTTTAATTCCAGCACCCAGAAGGTAGAGGCAGGTGAATCTCTGAGTTCAAGGGTAGCCTGGTCTATAGAGTGAGTTGCAGGACAGCCAGGGCTACACAGTGAAACCCTGGCTCAAAAAGGGAGTGGGTGGCGAGGAACATTTCACAAATTTGCAAATCATCCTTCCTGAGGGACCATGCTAATCTTTTGTATCATTCCAATTTTAGTGTATGTGCTGCCAAAGTGAACACAAGAAGAATGAAGTTTAATCAGTTTAAACACTGGGTTCTATGCTAGCCTTACAAAAATGGAAGTAAAACAGAAAGGCCCAGGAAAATCAAGCCGTCTTTGCCTTTAGTTCAATCCATGTGATGTGAGAATAGATAGAAATTGAAGTGTTGAAGATTTTTCTAACTGGGAGCCGTAAGTACTAAATGCAGGTTTCTTTTGGTAATCAGAGAAGGCGAAGTGGAGAATGACCTAAGACAGAATGAGAAGACAGCATCAAGCTAGGCCTTAAGAAATGTGAAACGGCTACAAGAATGCTGGGTGGTGACATATAGAGCACATCAGTTAACAACTCTAGGAGTATAGGGGGAGCTAAGCTGAAAAGTAGGCCCACATTCTGACACGTTGGAAATTCCTGCCTGCAGTGTTTTAAATATTGACAGAAGACTCCTATTCCTCTTATACCTGATGAAACCATCCTAACTTTTACTTAGAATAATGACAACAAGCCAGGTCTGGTGGCTAACATCTGTTTTCTAGCTTTTGAAGGGTCAGGCAGGAGGCTCTCCCCAAATTCCAGCTGGGATACATAAAGAATTGTTGCCAGTAAGGTTACAGAGTGAGACTGTTTTTTTTTTTTTTTTTTTTTTTTAAAAAAAAAAAAAAAAAACAACAAACAAAAACCAGCATAGGTAAAATGGCTCAGTGAATAAAGATGGTTCCTGTGCCAGCCTAGCTACACTTGAGTTCAGCCACTACAGCCTTGTAATGTGGTTGGAGAACCAAGTCTATAAAGTGGTCCTCTGACCTCCCCATGTGTGCTGTGGCATTCATGTGCCCCAAGTCAGATGTCTTGTATGACACAATGTAAGAGAAGAGGGGTCCAGTGAGTTAGAAGGGGCAGGAATGAGAAAGATATAAGAAAACATTGATTAGGAACATGACTCCAGAGGCCATGAGATGCGTCAGCAGGTAAGGACACTTGCCTTAGAACCTGAGTTTGATCCTGGGGAACCACATAGTGGAAAGAGAACCAACTTCCACAAGTTGTCATTTGACCGTCACACTTGTGACATGCCACACATAGCCCCTCCCACCTCCTTCCCACATATGCAATAAGTAAAAATGTGATAAAAAATTTTAAAAGGAGCATGGGGAGGAAGCAACTCCAAAACTGTCAGGAATGGGTAAGGAAAAGGAATCAACAGTAGAGTTTCAGCTGGGTGAGGTGGCATATGCCTGTAATACCAACACTCAGGGAGGCAGAGGCAGGAGGATCTCTGAGTTTGAGGCCAGCGTAGTCTACAAATCGAGTCTAGGACAGCCAAGGCTATGCAGAGAAAACAATCTTGAAAAAAAACAAACCAAACAAGCAGCAGCAATAACAAAAAACAAAACAAAAAAACAGTAGGGTTTTAGACATGGGTGCCTGTGTGTGGATACCAGGGCACTTTTGAATAGTGGCACTATGTATAGAAATAGGGAAGTCAGTAACGGGAAGTGATGGGTTCTTGGTCCTATTTTTGTATTAAAGTAACAAAATTATACACTTGCCTGTGCTGATTTCTTTCTCACATGCTCACATAGAAACACAGCTTCTGGCTTGTCTGTGTTTTGTGCTTTGTCTGTAGCTCCTCCAGTGCCTTTTTTTATGTCATTGCTGTGTGCAACTTGGCTTCCTGAGAGAAGCCCAAGCCATGTGGAGTAGTCAAGGCTGATGATTTTCATTCCTATAGTAAGATATCCTGTGGGAGTCGAGGTTAGCGGTACTTACATTGAAAAGGAGAGCAGGAAATCTGGAGGGATGAAAGCAGCAAAGATTGAGGCTTTTACCAGAGACCCCAAAATAGAAAACCGTGAGTAAGAGCAAGACCCAAATAGGTGGTTCAAGGCCAACTTTGCAGGAGAGAACTCCATTGTTACCTGTGCTAGATGAGGGAGAATATGGAGTGGGTGGAAGTGGTGGGCACTTGGAGAGCTAGAGCCACCTAGCACCACCTCAGTAGTTGGAGTTGCTGTGGGTAATGGTGTCGTGTGAGCTGTAGGCACTGGGAAGTGGCACCATGTTGCTCAGGGCATTTTGTGCCCTGTGAGGCACATAAGTAAAAAGTAGGTGGAGCGCTCTGGGAAGCGGCAGTGCTGTAAGAAGCTGAATGGGCCTGGGAAGGAAGTTTCCTTTGTAGACCATTGCTTTGTGAAAGAGTCCCTATGACACTCTGTTGGGAAGATGGCTTTCCCTTGGTCCACAGTGCAAATTTTGTGAAGCTTAAAGATAGAAGCATTGGGCATGGATCTAGCTTCTTGGTATCATGTGAAGACTTGAAGCATCTCAAATGATAGGGATTAGGACAGCAAAGCCAAGCTGACACCTGAGAGTTAGTACTTGGGCAGGGAGACCCTGGTTTTATCTAGTGATGGCTAGTCATTGTCTGGTGATTGGTGTAGGATCACCAACCATTTCTTTCATTTTCTCTTTGTTTTTGTGAGACAGGGTTTCTCTGTTGCCCTGGCTGTCCTAGACTCATGTTATAGACCAGGCTGTACTCGAACTCAAAGTAATCTGCCTGCCTCTGCCTCCCTGAGGCCAACCATTTCTTAACAAATAAAAGAATAAAAGAATCTTTCTTTTTTGTTGCTGTTATTTTGTTTTGTTTGTTTTTTCGAAACAGGGCTTCTCTGTGTAGCGTTGGCTGTCCTAGAACTCACTCTGAAGACCAGGCTAGCCTTGAACTGATATATTCACCTGCCTCTGTCTCACTCAGTCATCGCCTGCCTTTGCTTCACTCCCCATCACTGCTCAGCTCAATCCCTACTCTTTGTCCTTGTCATTTGGAAGGCCTTGCTAATTACCTTTCAGAATTGAGAACAACCACTTCGATGGCACATATCTATAATTTAGCACTTAGAGACTGCAGCAGGAGCATCAGGAGTCAGGATCATCCTTGGCTACATAGTTGGTTTGAGTCTAGCCTGGGCTGCACAAGACCCTGTCTCAAAACAAAGAACCCTGGCCACATTTCTTTTCCTCTAAATATAAGTTAACAAACTATACAAAGTAAATAAACTGTAATTAATATAAAAAATAAAAATTTATATATATTAAAAAAAAACAAGTTACAAACTTGTGGGTGTTACTGGGAATTGAAACGAGGACCTCTATGTGCCAGGTAGGCCCTCTCAGCTCTTCACTTTTTACTTTGAGACAAGTGGGCCTTGTACTTGAAATTCTCCTTCAGCTTCCCACGTTGTTGAGATTACAGGCTGTTTTTTGTTTATTTGTTATTTGTTTTCTGCTTCTTTGGTTTTTGAAGACAAGGTTTCTCTGTATAACCTTGGCTGTCCTGGATTTGCTTTGTAGACCAAGGTGGCCTCAAACTCACAGGGATCCACCTGCCTCTGCCTTCGGAGTGCTGGGATTAAAAGCTGCATTGCCACTGCCTAGCCAAATAGTGATTTTTAAAGTTAAGAAAACACGGCTTGGGGTGCTGATGCATGCCTACAATTTTTAGTGCTTGAGATGCTAAGATTGGAGGATCATTGTGAGTTGAAGACCAGCCTGGGCTATAGTATGAGGACCTGAGAGGGGGTGGAGGTGAGTTAGCTCAGCCAGTAAAGATGCTTGCCACCAAGTCTAAGTTAGATTTTTCAGAACTCCATGACAAAAGGAAATCCTTTTAGGTTGTCCTCTGACTTCCACATTTCACAGCACTTGAGCCCCACCCGACCCTCAAATAAATAAATGTAAAAAAAAAAACCACATTTAGAACCAAAATCCAGAAACTCTGGGTATTAGCCCATGTAATGTTAGAAAGTCTGTCACCTCAGAGGGTTGAGGCTGTTTGAATAAGATGTGCATTACAGCTCAGGCTTCTCTTTGTCTGAGCCTGAAGCCCTGAACAGCAAGTAGCATAATTTGGATTTACATCGGAGACCAAAAGCCATTTCACCCCCCTCAGCTGGCCATCTTTTTGCACAGGTGCCAGAGTAGCAGGGAGAGGGCCAGACCTAGTGTTACTGGGCTTTGTATTTAGTGCTGCAGTTCTAGAACGTCCACGACCCTCAGGATGCTCTCACATTTGTTTGTACTTGATCATTCATTGAAGGCCATTAAACCTGAGGGTGCTGAATGTGTGAGTCAGAGTTCTGTCTATGCAGGGGGAGGCTCCACAGATTAGTAGAATGCCGAATGCATTTGTAGTGGGTCCTATGCAATTTCAGAAGTCTTTGAAGAATTAAGATTAGGTCTTGAAATCTTTGTGAAGGGCCTATAGAAATTACTCATTTTTGGTTTAATTTTGACCTGTTTTGGCCTGTCTTCAGCTTCTCGGGAGACACTTGCTGGTCATTGCTCCTGCTGAGAACCCAGACCAGTTTATCAGCAGGGGCTGTATAGTGAGATGCTCACGTGTGTGAAGGTGTCAGTGAGAACTGTGGTCATTCATGTGTATGTTTGACCTTTGGATCCCGATCTGCTCTGAGAGGTTTCTTCTCTCTTTTTCTTTTTCTTTTCTTTTCTTTTTTTCTTTTTTTTTTTTTTTTACTGCCACTTCCAGAAATATTTGGCAAAAAGCAGGAGCAAATTATTTTTGTTGTCTGGCTGAACTGTGGAGGTTTCCTTATGAAACAAATTTAGAAGCAAAATTTGGTGTTTAAAAATTGTGGAGATAGCCGGACTGTAATCCCAGCACTCAGGGAGGCAGAGGCAGGCAGATCTCTATGAGTTTGAGGCCAGCTTGGTCTATGAGTCCAGGACAGCCAAGGCTACACAGAGAAACCCTGTCTCAAAAAAAATAAAATAAAAATAAAAATTTTGTGAAGATAATCTTGTGCTATGAGTTGGTTTTCTAACAGTTGTCCTCTGTGCTTTGTTCCAAGATAAAGCTACCAACCCTTCCAACCGCCAGGAAGATTGGGAATATATCATTGGCTTCTGTGATCAGATCAACAAAGAGCTTGAAGGGTGAGTCCGGGGGGGGGGGGGGAAGAACCAAGGAAGGCTGGCCAGATGGCCCTCCATCTGCAGACTGACTGTAGTGTGATTGTCTACCAGGCCCCAGATTGCTGTCCGACTCCTGGCCCACAAGATCCAGTCTCCACAGGAATGGGAGGCGGTCCAGGCCCTCACGGTAGGTCTTTGCTGTCAGAGATGAATGCAGTGGGTACTCACTTGCTCAGTTCTTTCCTCACACACACACATTAGGCTATCAGTGGTAGTCAGGTTCACGCCCAAAGTCCCGTGGAGTCCCTCATACAGGTTGCCATATCTAGAACATGTCAGTTAGCTAGTCCACAAGTATTCATGCCTCTAGACCTAGCATAGAGGCTGCACAGATGATGGAGGGACCCCGGAGGCAGGACCTTTAGTTCATTGCAGGGCTCAAACAACACTTAGGTAGTCTTGACACTTAAGAGTCAGTGATTCACAGACAGGGGCAGGCAGATATGTAAGTCAGGGCTGCACAGAGAAACCCTGTCTAAAAAACAATAAAAGCCAGTCATAAGTGGTGCACACCTTTAATCTCAGCAGTTGGGAGGCAGAGGCAGGCAGGTCTCTGTGAGTTTGAGCCTAGCCTGCTCCACAGAGCAAATTCTAGGACAGCCAGAGAAACCCTTTCTCAAAAAAAACAAACAAACAGAAAAACAAAGCAGCAACAAAAAAAGTCAGCCAGCCAAAGAAAAGTGAGGTAAATACAGCTCTATAGCTGAAAATACTGCCTATTCTAGTGAGGGTGTTACGTTGATAGTCACAGTAACGGGCAGAGCGAGAGGAACCTTCAGATGCTTCCTTGCTTCCCTAGACAATAGCCAGGTTTGGAGGACAATGGGGTCCTTTCTGAGCCTGCCCTCCTTTGGGTCCTGGAGACACAGCAGAGCAATGGTGCTTAGAGGCCCGGGTACACTGCTCTTTCACTATGGAGCCAAGACCTTTATTTTATTTAGTATTTGTTGCTGTTGTTGTGTTTTTAAAAAGTTTATGTATCATCTATACAATATTCTGTCTGCATGCACACCTGCACACCAGAAGAGGGCACCAGATCTCATTCTAGTTGGTTGTGAACCACCATGTGGTTGCTGCTAATTGAACTCAGGACCTCTGGAAAAGCAACCAGTGCTCTTAACCTCTGAACCATTTCTCCAGGCCTGAGTCAAGACCTTTAAAATGGTGATTTTTAAGGGCAGCTGTTGTTGAATATTAATACTTATTATTGATTTATCTTTTAGTTAAACAGCTGTATACCCAAATCACTACACAGAAAGTAGGATTTACTTAGTTAACCTAGAGCACAATGCTGGGCATGATTACTCCATCCTAAACCTCCAAACCCGAATAGCTTCCTCCCATTCAGATTTTCAAACATTACACTTGCTTTTAGTCATATCTTAGGTCCAGTTCATCTCTCCACATGGTTCCAAGTCCTGTCCTGCCCGATCTCTGCTCTCCGACTCCTCCCCCTCACTTCCTTCTCCTCCCCTTAGGACCAGGATGTCCCACCTTTTTCTCTCCATTGCACAGCATTGGCTAGTTGTTTAAATGAAAATACAGAGAAGGGGTTGAGGATTTAGCTCAGTGTTAGAGTGCTTGCTAGAACACAGGGCCCTGGGTTCAGTCTTCAACTCTGGAAAAGGGAAAAAAAAAAAAAAAGAAAATACAGAGAAAAAATGATGGCATGTTTACACAAACTTGAAACAGGTGATGCTTAGAGTAAACATCACAACGCACTGTCTGGATTGAAACTGGATAATGGAATAGAGAAGTCAGCATTTGAATGAACGAGAGTAAATTGTATACATTCCATAAGAACATTATACCAACAGGCAACGAAGCATTTGTTTGTTTGATTTGGATATTTTCTTGAGATGTCTCGATTTCCTTCTACCTCTAAAAGTGTTAATAGTACAGGCATGTGCCATCATGGCTGGTTTGCAGGGGCAATTTTGGTCTCCAGGGGACATTCAATAGCGTCTGAGATATTTTTATTGTTAGGGCTGGTGTGAGCGTGGCATCTAGAATGTAGAAGTCAGTGGTCTAGCTAAATGTCCTTGAATGCACAGGACAGGCCTACAGCAAAGAGTGACCAGTCTAAAGTATCCACCAACTGCAGATGAGACTCCTAGCTTTAAAGAAACAAGCTACTGAGAGCTGGAGAGGATGTCTCAGTGGTTAGAGCACTGACTGTTCTTTCAGGAGACCTGGGTTCAGTTCCCAGGGCTCACATGGAGGAATTCCTGGAACCATTAGAAGCTCACAACCATCCTTAACTTGGGTTTCAGGGCATCCCATGCTCTTCTGGCTTCCTCCAGCACTGTACGATGTTGTACACAGATATCAGGCAGGCAAACACCTATATACATAAAATTCTTTACTTATGTATGTGTGTATTAAAGAAAAACCACTGGGCATGTTATCATAAGCTTTTAATCCCAGCACTTAGTAGACACGGCAGGCAGATTTCAGTGAGCGCAGACCAGCCTGCTTCAAACAGAAGAGCAGAGATGGAAGCCAAGAGGCTAGGCTGACAACTCAGTTGGTAAAGTGCTCTGCAAGTTTCAGGCCCTGAGTTTAATCCCGAGAATTGGGTGGCAAAGAAAGGCAGATCCCTGGGTCTCATTGGTCAGCCAGCCTAGTGTAATTATTGAGTCCCAGGCCAGTGAGAGTCACTGCCTCAAAACAAGGTCCTCTATCTGAGGAAGAATGCCTGAGGTTAACTTGGCATACACACACCCTCATACCTAAACACTGCCATGTACAAGCTGAATGAAGAATGCCCTACTCTTCCGCAGCAACACTGGAACATGCAAACAAAAGGAAGCAAGAGAAATGCCCCATTATCTAAACAGGATAGTAGATTTAAATGCCTCCTACTCCCACAAAAAAATGTCAATTTGTAGAAAGGATCCTCGAGCATTCTTGAAGTCAGAGGAACTTTCTCCTTGGACCTTGGTTTTCCTGCTAAGGTTCTAAGACAGTGTCTTTACTAAAGGGAAAGAAGGGTTTGTGGTGAGCTGTTCTGTGCCTCAACCTTCATTCTCCAGGGAGTGCACCATTTCTCTTAGTGAATCTCTTCACCTGGGACAGGTTTCTTAATACTTGGTAGAGACCAGAGGTCTCAGGTGCCATAGCCTCCATCTGGGACTGCCTCTCTCTGTGTGGCTGCAGGTGCTGGAGGCATGTATGAAGAACTGTGGGAGGAGATTTCATAATGAAGTGGGGAAGTTCCGGTTTCTGAATGAATTAATTAAAGTCGTCTCTCCGAAGGTCAGTTGGAGGCAATTTCTTCTGTTCCCTTCCCATCTCTCGTACTGTTTTTTCTGCTCAGTTAGCATGGCCCTCTCTCTGTGTGTTGTACTTGCAAAGCTGGTTCTTCAGGGTACCAGTGACTGATCAGGCTGAGGGCTGAGCAGCCTGCAGATGGACTCCCAGCCTAAAGGTGGCTGTGTGTGTCCAGGGAGAGTGTAGGCAGATAGGTCTCTGCTCCTAACATACATCAGCTGCAGGATTTTGCTTATTTGCTCTGATGGCCAGAGTCTATCGAATAGCTCTAGGCGGACGGACTCATTTTTCATGCTGGTGGCATTCTCAGAAAGTCCAAGAGAATGTGGCTATGGGGCTAGAGACATGGCTTGGTGGTTAAGAGCACTTGCTGCAGTCCCAGAGGACCCATGTCCAGATCTCAGCACCCACGTTAGATGGCCCATGACTGCCTGTAATTTCAGCTTCAAGGGGATCCAATTCTGACCTCTGGCCTCTAAAGGCACCCACATATATATGGTGGACACTCATATACATAAATAAAAATAAATCTTCATAATGTTCTCTTGCAAGATTTATTTATTATGTGTACAATGTTCTGTCTGCATGCACACCAGAAGAGGGCATCAGGTCTCATTCCAGATGGTTGCTAGGAATTGAACTCAGGACCTTTGGAAGAACAGCCAGTGCTCTTAACCCCTGAGCCATCTCTCCAGCCCCTTATTCTTTTTTTTTTTTTTTTTTCATGTCTCAGGCAGCTTTTGCATGGAAGCACAGGGATAAGGTCTTGGCCTGTTCTGACTGCAGGCCCTGTCACTCCCCTCTCCTGCTCCATCACACACTGTACAGTCGGGTCGGCTGGGTTTGTTTGAATAGGGCTTGTGAACTGGAGTGGGGGAGCACGCTATGAAGAAAGTCATTCATTCTTGGTGTCTCAGATGTTAGACTCTTACTTCATTTTACCTTCTAGTACTTGGGAGACAGGGTGTCTGAAAAGGTGAAGACTAAGGTCATCGAGTTGCTTTTTAGCTGGACGCTGGCCTTGCCGGAAGAAGCAAAGATCAAAGATGCCTACCATATGTTGAAGAGACAAGGTATGTGCTTACTTCTCTGTTAACTCCAGGGGCAGTGGATGTCGGTCAAGGCAAAGAATCCTGGGGGTCTCCAGGGTCATAGCAGGGTCTCTTCCTATAGAATGGATTTGTCATGAGGGCTCAGCTAGTGTTTTAGTAAGTTGAGGTGAAAGTAGCCTGCTCTTTTTCCTGCTCATTATAGGGATTTGGCCCTTGGTGTGTGAAAGACAAGAGGACCGTTGCTGAGCACATGCTCTGCCATTTGTGTCTCCTCTCAGGCATAGTGCAGTCGGACCCCCCTATTCCCATGGATAGAACGCTGATCCCCTCTCCCCCACCTCGACCCAAAAACCCTGTTTTTGATGATGAGGAGAAATCCAAGGTAAAGTGCAAATCTTGGACCTGGAGTTCTTTAGATGAGTGGTGCCAGTGGCAGGGTGAATGCACGTGGGCGTGTATGAAGGGGAGGGTGGGTGCTTTTTTGTTTTTGATATTTTTGAGGCAGTATCTCACTCTAGCCTAGGCTGACCTTGAACTCAACATCTTCCTGCCTCCATCTCCTGAGTGGTGCTACTGTAGGCATGGGCCACCCTACCAAACGTGAAATGGGGTCTTGTTCGGTCTTACCATTTCTTCTGGTCTGCACAGTGTGGATGGACACATGCTGCCTTTCCTCATTTTACATACCTTTTCCAGCTTTTAGCCAAGCTACTGAAAAGCAAGAACCCAGAAGACCTGCAAGAAGCCAACAAACTCATCAAGTCCATGGTGAAGGAAGTGAGTGGGTCCTGGTCCTCTGGGCGTGGGGCTCAGAAGCATGTGACCACAGAGCAGAAGTCCTTCCCCAGAGATCTTAGGCCTGTCTTGTTCACCCTGCACCAACCCTGAACTGGAGCGAGTGTAGGAGGAGCCTTGGATTGCCTATGGAGAGAGCAGGAGAGTGGGGGTGGGGCAGTGGACATGGGCAGTATCACTGTGACAGAGCACCTTGGGCTTAAGCTTAGTCCTAGGAGACATGCTAGGCAGAGATCTGGGCATGGCCTCTGCCCTTGTGCTGTTGGGTCAGGAGTGAGCCCTGCTTGGTTGTTAAAGACGAGCCAGGTGAACTTGCTTTTCCTGCACCCTCTTGGCTGAGGCAGGATGAGGCGCGCATCCAGAAGGTCACCAAGCGCCTGCACACGCTGGAGGAGGTTAACAACAACGTGAAGCTGCTCCATGAGATGCTGCTTCACTACAGCCAGGAGTACTCCTCGGAGGCTGACAAAGAGCTCATGAAGGTGAGCTGCACTGAGCTGAGCTCGCTGCTCATAGTGCTGTGCCCAAAGTGGGAACCTGTCCAGGTGAGGACGTGCTTGTTTTTGGCGGGCTTGTCCATGGCAGCAGGGGGTAAGGAGCAGTGTTTATTTTACACAGCTAACACCCAGGTACAAGTGCTGCAGTGAGGGAGTGAAGGGTAGTACAGTTTTTGGTTGGTTGTTTGGTTGGACTGGTTTTTCAAGAGTGTTTCTGTGTAGCCTTGACTGTGCTGAAACTCAGTCTACCAGGCTGGCCTCTGCCTCCCTGAGCGCTGGGATTAAAGGCGTGTGTCACCAGGCGCGGCCACAGCTTTGTTCTATATAGCTAACACCCCTGGTGCAAGCACCGCCTGTGAGATAATGTCCTAGGTGTTCACTCTTACTCTCTGCCTTTAAGCTTTGGGGGGACCTGGGTGGGAGACTTCCTGAGCCACTGATGTTGACATTGTGGCTTCTCAGAAACAAATCTTTTTCTTCTTGTTATTGTAATTATTGTTATTTATTCTTCTCATATATTACATCCTTATTGCAATTTCCTTTCTCCTCCAGTCTCTTCTCTCTACCCTCCCTTTCCCCCAAATCTAACCTTCTTCACCTCCTCACTGAGAAGAACAGGTACATCAACCAGATATGGCATAACAAGCTACAGTAAGACCAGGCACATATTCTCACTTCAAGGCTGGATGAGGCAACCCACTGGGAGTAAAAGGGTTCCAAAGGCAGGCAAAAGAGTCAAACAACCCCTACTCCCACTGTTAGGAATCACATAAGAACACCATAACCGTAAATGGATGCAGAGGATGTAGGTCAGAGCCATACAGGCTTCCTCCACCACAGGAACACCACCCAGAATCAGCTGACTGGGACTCACCTCACCTATTATCTGAGGGACTTTCATTTGATTCAGATGACTCGGGCAACGTTGTTTGGTGGGTGCTGACAGCACAAAGCCTGCTTTGCTCTTCACCCTGCCAGGAATTGTTTGTGGTCTGTTGGGGCATCCCACCATTTTCTGAGCATAAACATTGAATCAGGTGACTTCTGAGGACCTCTGTAGTTGTGATTTTTATGTCTGGGTCTTTCTCAGGAGCTCTTTGATCGGTGTGAGAACAAGAGACGTACTTTATTTAAACTAGCCAGTGAGACAGAAGACAATGACAACAGTTTGGGTGAGTATAAAGGAGTGACTGGCAAGGATGAGTCAAAAACTTGGATTTGTGTGAGCGTTATCATGGCCCACACAATGAAGAATCTCTTTTGTTCTAGGGGACATCCTGCAGGCCAGTGACAACCTCTCCAGGGTCATCAACTCTTATAAAGCAATTATTGAAGGGCAGATCATCAACGGTGAGGTGACCACCTCAACCATGCCTGACTCTGAAGGTACATACTTTTGATTCCCCATCTGGGACCTTCCAGACCAGCCACAAGTGGCAACTCACAGGGCCTGAGGGAATTCTAAGCATTTCAAGTGATCCTTCACTTCTCAGAGGCCAGTGGGTATGCATGGAGATTTCGCTGCCTGCCTGGTTTTCAGTTTCACTGGAGAAATGCCACTGAGTTGGGCTAGAAGCTAGAGCCTTAGTGGTTGTGCCCAGGTCCTGCCTCCCGCTGCACAGACACTAGATTCACCCTTAATGTTCTTGTTCCTCTGTGTTGACCCATCCAGGCAATGATCACTGCAGTAACCAAGGCACCCTCATCGACCTTGCTGAATTGGACACCCCCAGCAGCTCATCCTCAGTGTCGGCCCCAGCATCTGCTCCACCCGCCTCAGGCATTCCTATCCTCCCTCCACCACCCCAGACCTCTGGACCTCCACGAAGCCGCTCATCCAGTCAGGCTGAGGCTCCCCCAGGGCCTGACAGCATGAGCAATGCCCTATCCTTGCTAGATGAGGAGCTGCTCTGCTTGGGTAAGTGCAAGCATGGCATTAGAGGAAGGCAGGCCTGTGTGCACTGGGCCTATGGGCTCTAGGATGAGTTATCAGTAAAGCTCGTAGCTCATTGTCTGGAGGCTACTAGGGCCACCTTCCTGTGGATTTTAGGGCAAACATGATAGGCTTTGGTGCAACTCAGCTCCTCTGTTTCTGGGAGGCCTTTCAATCATGCATGTGACTGGGTGGAAGTGTGTTTACTTTCCCAAACTAGCTGCAAGGGAACACTTTTCTTTCCCGTTCATCAAGTAATGTCTCTTGTCTTGTTAAATGACCATTCTTGGGGGGGGAGGGAAAAGGATGTTGCCTCAGCCCAGTGCCACCTCTCACTGAGTTTTCTTTTGTATTCTTAGGCCTGACTGACCCAGCCCCCACTGCTCCCAAAGAGTCAACTGGAAATAGTCAGTGGCACCTGTTCCAGGTAGAGGCACAGTAATGGCCACGTTACCAAAGTGCCCAAGGACCATTCCTTCTTAGACTGTGCCTGGCTGCACTTTGCTAGAGCGAAAGCTTCTTGTACTTTCTAGAGCATGAGCTACTATAGCTGGGACAAGCTGCCTCCAAGGGTTGTTTTGTGGGTCGTAGTTCTGAGGTGGGTCTGAGCATCTCAGAAGGGCCTGGTGGGTGATGAACTCCCTTTCTCTAGCCCCTCCTAGGTTTTGCTTACCTGATGTTTCTGTTGTACAGAATGAACCATCATCAGATCTGGACTTTTTCAGCCCCAGGCCAATGCCTGCGGCCTGCTGTCCCTCAGATGGATCCCTGCTCCCTCCCCCAGTTTCTACCTCAAGTATGTCCCAAGCTCCACTGCCTGCTCCCTTCCCAGCTCCTGTGGTCCCAGCCAGTGCACCAGCTCCCAGCCCAGGTTCCTTCATGTTCTCTTCTGGACCTGCCTCAGCCTCGGTTCCAAAGGCTGAGCCTGCAGCCCCAGAGTACCACAGCTCAGCACTTGGTGACAGCACCTCGCACCACCTAGATGCCCTTGATCAGCTTCTGGAAGAGGCCAAAGTGTAATGGATGGAAGAAGAGAGGGTGGCTGAGGGTGGAGTGTTAGAACCAAAGGGAGGCAATGGGGATGGGGGGGGGGGGTCCCTTTTGGTCCCATTAATCAGGCTGGAAGCTGGTGGCCTGGTGTAGCTAGGAACTGGCCTTGGTTGAGGTGTTGCCCAGCAGTTCTAGCCTGGTCTCTGATTTGCCTTCTGTCCTTCCTTCTCCCCAGGACTTCAGGCTTGGTGAAACCTGTTTCTTGCTTCTCCTCTGGGGCCACTGCCTCCCCATTGCTTCCCACCTCTGCCCCAGCCAGGCCTCTCCTGCCCTTCTCCACTGGGCCTGGAAGCCCTCTCTTCCAGTCGCCAGCCTTTCAATCCCAAGGCAGCCCTCTGAGAGGCCCAGAGCTCTCCCTGGCCAATGTCTATGTACCCCTGGAATCGATCAAGCCTAGTAAGTGCTGGAAGACAGGTCAGCCTCAACAGCCATAGCATTTGTAGGGTATGTGATCAGTGGATTCTGTCTATGCAGAGGTCCCTTACAGCTAAAGGTCTGCTTGTCAACGTTTTTTTCAAGATTGTGTTTTTATTACTTAAGAATGTTTGTGCGCCTTGGTGTATGCATGTGCGTGACAGGTGCCACAGCAGTCAGAGGGTGTCAGACCTGAAACTGGACTTCCAGGCAGTTGTGAGCCATCTGATGTGGGTTCTGGGAACCTAGATCCTCCACAAGAATGGCAAGTGCTTTTAAGCCATCTCTCCAGCCTATCTCAGCTTCTTACAGCAGCTGTGTAACCTTGAGCCTCTCCAGTACTCCACAGGGCAGCACTGTTCAGCCACACTGGCTCTCTACATCCCCCTTGGCTTTAGTAGTACCTCTGGGGCTTTGGAGTGCCTTTGCTCTCCCGTCACACTCACTCATGTAAGTCATTCTTGCAGGCAGTGCCCTTCCTGTGACAGCCTATGATAAAAATGGCTTCCGAATCCTCTTCCACTTTGCTAAGGAGTGTCCCCCAGGACGGCCTGATGTGCTTGTGGTGGTGGTGTCCATGCTGAATACAGCTCCTCTGCCAGTCAAGAGCATAGTGCTGCAAGCCGCAGTGCCCAAGGTATCTTTGTCTCCTTCATCTCTGAACTTGTGTTGACCACTTTTCAGTGGCTAACAGGTGGCAGGTGGAGAGACACCTGGAGAAACATCCTCCTCAAAGGAGTTTTTGGATTTTTTTTTTTTTCTTTAGTCAATGAAAGTGAAGTTGCAGCCACCCTCTGGGACAGAACTTTCTCCATTTAGTCCCATCCAGCCACCAGCAGCCATCACCCAGGTCATGCTGCTGGCCAATCCAATGAAGGTAAGCGTGAGAGAATCCACAATACCCACCTGGGGTCCCACCGCCACAGGGAATAATACCTCTGAGCCTGTCTGGTCTTGGCATGATCTGTAGCACTAACCCCTCTCGTGCCACGTTTAGGGACTGAGCAGTCCCATCCCCCCAGCAGAGTAAAGAGTGGCAGGGAAGAGTGTCCTGCAGAGTGAATTCCTGGCTTGACTCTCACCTGCATCCCTCTCGTTATAGGAGAAGGTGCGGCTTCGGTATAAACTGACCTTTGCTCTGGGGGAGCAGCTGAGCACAGAGCTGGGTGAAGTGGACCAGTTTCCTCCTGTGGAGCAGTGGGGTAACCTATGACCCTAGCAAATGCTGTCATCTCCACTTGGAAGCAGGCAGCCCTGAGACAGGCTCTGGCGGGTCCAGCCACTGTACCCTCTGGGCAGTGCTTACAGCTTGGTGTGGACCAGGGTCCTGGGTGTCCCTGTCGGAGCCAAGCTGCTGCTTTGATCATCTCTTCTGGGCCCCTAAATGGACCTGTTTTACCTACCTGTGTGACTTGAAGTGACCGTACTGTGTGGGTGGGGAGTCGCTTGTGGCTTCACTGGCTGCCTTGGGGTGGTAGACTCTGGACGTGGAGTAGGTTTTCCCCTTTTTTACTGGCATCCCTTGATACCAGGGAGAGGACTCTTAAAGAGCACCTCTCCAATCCCCTCAAGAACTGCATCTTTACACCCTGAAGAGGCGTGGGTTGGGAGACTATATCTCCCATTGGCGTTCCATGCTTCTTTACTAACAAGCACTGCTGCTGCCCTGAAGTGGGCAGCAGTGGCCCAGAGTGAGAAATCTGGAGTACTGTGGTCTTCACTGTGGGCTTCGGCAACAGCACCCGGAAGTGGCTGCTGAGTGAGTGATGTGCTTGTCCTGGCAGTGGAAGGTTGTGTCCTATGGACATGTCAGCAGGACAGGGAACTTGGCCCGAGAGCCTCAACTAGGGATAGGAAGGAAGATGGAAGTGCCAGTGTTTCCCCTCACAAGCAGGTACTGTGGCTTTCTGGGAAAGGCATACCCTCCTGCAGTGGGAATAGGCCATCCTACTCACTACCTCTTGCTTGGCATGATATAAACTGCTGTGTCCCCCTTAACCCTTTTAAAGGGAAGACACCTCCCGCCACTCTGCATCCTCCTGCTTTGGTCACTCCTTCTCCCTGCCACATGGAATGTGGTGTGGCACCTATGGCTGGACCCAGGAAGTCTCAGGGTCACACACATTGCACTAAACTTTGTCCCTTTGTGCTGCACCAAAATACCCACTTTTTCCCATCTACAGAGGAGCACTGTTTGCAACATGTTGGGTCTGGAGGTTGAGGTGAGGGGCTGTGCTTGAAGTGAATTACCAGACCCTATTGCTTCAACAGTGCTGTGCCTCAGCTAGCAAGACCCAGCTGCTCCAGGCCAGAGATTTTCAAGACTACAGGGAAGTCTGCTGCCTTCGAGAAAAAGGAAGGTGACACAACTGTATCCCCTGGTCCCCTACATCTTGGGAGCATCCTTGCTCTGGCTAGAGGTCGTCTGACCGCCCTCCCAGCTACTGTCCTTAGTTAGCAGGTTTTACAGTTTTCCTTAGGACAGGTCAAAATCTTCTCACTGATGATGGAATAAATCCAAGAGCTTTCCAGAAACTGGTTACTTCAGCCTTGGAATAGCTATGGAATAGCTATTACTGTCAATGCATACCTTCATTAATCTTTAAACACGAAATTATGAGTGTTGCTCATTACTGAGGTCACCTACTTAATGGCCAACAGCTGTACTGGATGTACCACCCTCCTGCCCTTGTTTTGCTGCATGTGAAATAAAACTATTTTAACCCTGCTTGGAATTCTTTAATACAGAACACAACAGGCTTCTGAAGCATTTTGTTGAAAGAAGATAACCAACCTCAGATGGAATTTGTTCCCGTTCATTGGCTGAGTGGGGTAAGACATGAGAAACACAAATTGCCAGGCTTTCCATTTGGGCAGGATGACCCTGCATGGGCCAGTCGTACTCCATCAATGAGCTCATCAGCCAGGTGTGGCATGCTGCTTGAACACAGCCAGCCTATGAGGTGTGGCGGTCTCCATTTCAAAAACAATACACTTTGGTCAGTTTTCCATGTCAGGTTCAGGATAGACTGCTTAAAACTGCTTGGTCAGATTAATGACTGGTCTTCTTGCAAAAGAGAATTTATTCTTTTAAAATCTATTTACATTGCCATACAAAGTTACAACTGTCCTTGGCTTCTTTCAGGAGCCCTCCAGTGAGCCTTCTCGAATAATTGCCCGAGCAAGATTCCGGGCAAGAGCCAGTCTCAGCATTTCCACCTTGGTGGTCTCTATGTCGTCATCCTAAAGAGCAGACAGTGTGAGGCACGACAGGCTGTTCCAGGACAGCACAGAGAGCAGTGCACTAAGGGGGGGGGGGCTGGATGACTAAAGGGACAGGAAGGCTGGAGCCATCCCACGTCCTCCTAAAAGATTGGCATGCCACAGAGTGTGTTATTAACTAAAAGGCACATAAATTCGTAAGAGGCTAATTCAATGCAGGAGAATGGAGGAAAATCCCAAGACAAACCTTAACCCCCTTCAACATGGAGTCACCAACCCAAAAGTTAAAATAACCTGGAGTCGCTGGGCATCGGGCTCACCACACTCCGGCCTCCCCGAGGCTAAGTCTTCCAGGCAGCGCATCAGCTCGTATGTCTGCTCTGCTGAAAAAATCACCTAGGGGAAAGAAGCTGCTTCACTTTGCTGCTCCCCAGGCAGAGCCTGTGTTGGTCTAGGCATGGAACCGAATTCAGGGAAGACCTAAAGCTTTGGGAAGAATGCTGTGCATACAAAGCCCTAGACTGCTGATGTCTCACCCCCATCCCTCTGGTCAGGCCGAGCACTGGTGGTAGACGGCGTAATTTCAGCTTTTCTTAAGTCAACACTGGATTGGAGCCTGGGCCTTACACTACACATGCATTCACGGTACTTAGGAGGAGGCATATATGAGCAGCTGTGTGGCTACAGAATAAACTCCGCTTAGATGTGATGAAGCATTACCTGTTTTTGTTCCAAAAGAGGCAGGGCATCTGTGAGCAGAGTCATCCAGAAAGAACGGGGTGCAATCTGAGAGGTCATGAGGGACAGCAGGAGAGAAGCAGCGTCACCAAAACGCTTCTCCCCATACAGTCTGTGGAACTCCCGGTACTTTCCTGTGTGTGTGTGGGGGGTGAGTTCACGTGAACAGTCCACTTACCCGACACTCAGAAAAGCCACCCTGGCCTTAAACTAGAACTCCATACACCTGGAAATGCTGGTAGAACGGTCTTAAATCCATACATAAATGAAATGCAGGATTCAAAAAAGAAAGTTATTAAAGAGCACCAACTCTGGGGAAATATCAGTCCTGGAAAGATGGTTTCATTAAGCTTACTAATTGTTCTTGCAGAAGATGAATATTCAATGCTCAACACTTACATAGCAGCTCACAACCAACTAACTCCAGTCCCATGGGACCCCAGACCTTCTTCTGGCTTCTGCAAGCATCAGATATATACTGGTACAGACATACATGCAGGCAGAATACCCACACACAAAACAGAAGTTTAAAAGAGCATTAAATACTCCACGAGTCCTGGTGGTATATATGAAATGGAGAACTTACACTCTTCCTGCAGTGAACTGCCAGCTCACACAAGTAATGAGAAAAGTCTGGTGCAAGTGTGATGGGGCATAGGACACAGGAACCATTCCAAACACTTCAGGTCCATAATCCCAGCCTTGGGGAGGTAAGGCAAATAAACTTCTGTATTAGAGGCTAGCCTGTCCACATAGGGATTTCCAGGGCAGCCAAAAGCTACACAGTGAAACCCTGTCTTCAAAACAAAATTAAGTATGAAAAGTGTATATAAGAAGCGTCATTCTAGCTGGGTGGTGGTGGCACACGCCTTTGCCTTTAATCCCAGCAACTCAGAGAGGAAGGTAGATGGGCTGTGAGTTGGAGGCCAGGCTGGTCTACAATGCGAGTCCAGGACAGCCAAGGTTACACAGAGAAACCCCGTCTTAAAACAAATGTCATTCCTCATTCCATTTCTATACTTCTCTAAGTTTGGAATTCTTGAGAAATGTTAACAAAACTGCAAAGGCTAACAGGCTTCTATGCAGACTGGAGAAATCTAGAAAGGTTTCTTCCATCTCCACAAGTGTCCACTCATACCTAGGAGAGAGAATGCTAAGAGACTCACCCAAGAATGTCAGTCGATCACTGAGCATCATGGCTGGCCCCAGGTTGTCAATGAGATCCAAGTCAGAAAAGCAGCCTCTCTCACAGTAATCCCGGAGGAATCTGCGGGGCCCAACCCAGAGGTTAGAGCAGCAGTATTAGGCCCTCCTCAAGCCCCAACCTCCCAGCCAACCAGAAAACTACCTACCGGTCGGATACAAGTGTGGCAAAGGCAGCATCTTTGGCACGTATGCTCCAAGAGAGGGCTGAACCCAGGCGATTATTGCGGACAGCCTTCATGGCCAAGATCTTACAGATGCTTCGAACTTTGCAGGAGAAACAAAAAGGCAAAGGCTTTTATAATCCCCTCCTGGGAAGAGCCCTGTGGGAACAGGCTTGGCCTTCCTACAGCGTCATTACAATCTCAGTATACAGCTAACAAGAGAAGAACCAGAAGTTTCATAGTTCATTCTTCTGTTTTCACTCTGCTCAGTACCACACCAGATTGGCTTCTGAGTGTTTGTGATTGAATAGCAAAAAAAAAAAAAAAAAAAAAAAAAAAGAAGTCTTGTTTTTCCTCCACATACAGGTCCCACCATTATCTGTCTTGAGACCACAAAAATCTATCATCTTTCAGGTCTTGAACACCGTGGGCTTGCAAAAGGTGGTTTGTGTGTGAGGTGCTTCTTATTTAGCAGGAATGGGAGGATGCAGGCAAACCTGTCCCTGTTGCTGTGCTCCTGCCCAGCCTTCCCTGCCGGTCCAGGCTTCGCTGGTAGCAACCACCCACCCACACAGGACTCTCAGCTCTGCACAGGCCTGACACATGGACCTGGGAGCAGGTTGACCTTTTTTAAAAGGCAAAGGGCCTCATTTTTCTAGGTTTTAAAGGGCAACCCAAACTTCTGTCCCTCCCTAATGGTGGCTCTGTGTCTTGACATGTACTGCACACTAGGTGCAGAGGCTGTTACAGTGTAGGCACTCCTCGGCCCAGAGATGCCCTAACAGCCTAGGGGACAGCCTAGGGGACAGCCTAGGGGAAGCTTTATCACCTTGTTCAGTCATCTGCCGCTGCTCACAAATCCTCAGCACCTTCAAGGCTTTCTGCTCTGTGTTGAGAGGAATCCGCTCAATGTGCAGCTCCAAGGAAACTCGGCCCAGCTCTGGACAGTAGTCGAAGTAATCCACCCCCAGCTGCCACAGGCTAAAGTGCAAGGAAGGCAGATGGTTGAGAGGCCAAGATGGGGAGCTGGAGAGATGGCTCAGAGGTTAAGAGCACTGTCTGTTCTTCCAGAGGTCCCGAGTTCAATTCCCAGCAACCACATGATGGCTCACAACCATCTATAATGTAATCTGATGCCCTCTTTTGGCATGCAGATAAAGCACTCATATACTTAAGAAAAAAAAAAAAAAAAGCCAAGATGGGCTGCCCTATGGCTCTGAGCACTGCCAACTGAACCTCATCATCCCAACTTGTCTGAGCCCTCAGAACTAGCCAAGAGAGAACAGGGACGCTCCACTGGCATGCACAAGCTCAGTATGTGGGGATTTCCTACCTGTGATGAGCAAACAGTCCTGAGGCATATTCCAGGAGGAGGAACTCTCTCATGTTAGACCCAAAACTGGAAGAGACAAACAAGCTGCACTGACTGCAAGCCTGGTCCCCCTGTGGAGCCCCTGCCACCATCTGCTCCTCTACTGCTTCCCACCATCATCCCCGCCCCGCCACCTCCAAATGCCGGGTGATGTAACTTACTAGAGATTGTGTGACTGGAGGAGTCTGCAGTGATCCAAGAGGTCTGTGAGGTGAGCTACAAACCACCAGTTGCTCAGGGCAATGCTGCAAGCAAATCCAGACACCAAGGCAAATGAAAGTCGGGGAGGGGCTGCATCGCATGACTTTAAAAAGAAGGCAAGGCAGAGGGGAAAGGTGCCTGATGCCAAGCATGAATACCCGAGTTTGAACCCCAGATGAACCCCAGATTCTAGAAGGCTCACAACCATCTAGAATGAGATGTGTGTGCAGGTATACAAGCAGACAGAACACTGGATACATAATAAATCTTAAAACAAAACATTTGAGACTATGTAAGTCTTGCCCTGGCCCAGAAATCACAGAGAACCCCTTTCCTCTGCTTCCGTAGTGCTAGGACTAAAGGTTTGTGCCACCACACCTAGCAAAGTTTTGGTTTTCTGAGGCAGAGTTTCATTGTAACTCAGGGATCAAACTCACTGTGTGGTCAAGGTTGAACCTGAACTTCTAATCTTGTCTCCACTTCTCAAGTGGATGACTCACCACACCAGCCAGGAAGGTTTATCTTTTATTTTGTTGGACACTCCCTATTTCACTTAAGGTTCGCTACAATAAAGGAACACTCTCAGGGAGGGGGCTGCCATGATAGTTTTGATAGCCCAACTCACCGAAATTAAAGATTCTCCTCTAAAGCAGGTATCTGTTCAGTCAGTGTGTAATATACCTGTTCAGTATGTCTAGATTTTTTTTTACCATTTATTTCTCTGTGTGTGCAAATGTGTGCATGTACACATCCAGAGACACAGCACTCATGTGGAGGCCAAAGGGCAATCAAGTCAATTCCTTCTATCATGTGTGTTCCAGGAACCAAACATTCCAGGCTTGGTGTCAAATACCTGCTAAAGCCATCTCTCAGGCCCTTTCTAGACTTTCGTTTATTTCCTTTTTTTAATGGCAGGATCTGACGCCAGGCGTGGTGGCCCACACCTGTAATCCCAGCATTCTGGGAGGCAGAGGCAGATGGGATTGCTGTGAGTTCCAGACCAGCCTGGTCTACAAAGCAAGTCCAAGACAGACAAGGCACACAGAGGAAAAAAAAAAAAAAGATAGGGTTTTACATAGCCCAGGCTATGCTTGAAATTTCGATGTAGTAAAGGCTGGCCTGATCCTCTCTACTCCTCAGCCATCCGAGTGGTAGGATTATAATAAACATGAGCTACCAAGCCTGGCTATTTCCTATCAACATCATTTCCTGCCATGACATTTTGAATATACCCGAAATGGAAACAAGGATAAACAAGGCAGTTCTCCCACGCAAGAGCTCCCAACTCATCATAAGAAACCATTAACGGGGGCTGGAGAGATGGCTCAGAGGCTAAGAGCACTGGCTGCTCTTCTCCAGAGTTAAATTCCCAGCAACCACATGGTATCTCACAACCATCTATAATGAGGTCTGGAGCCCTCTTCTGGTATATATGTAACAAATAAATAAATAGAAACCATTAATGGTTTGGACATAGGCAGGAGGCCTGGGTAGTCCTAAGTGTGGCCATGAGGACACTAATAGATAAGGGCTTCAGTAGGTGATAAGGAATCCTCCCTCTCAAATGAAATGCAGCAATTTTTTAAAGGAGTTTAACAAACTCTGTCCCCTTCTCCCACTTTCCACCACATGAAACAGGGTGTTCTAACCCCTTTCACTCAAACCTGTAATCCCAGCATGTGGAAGGCTGAGGTGGCATTGCTGGCCCGCCTGGCAGAATTTCTTCTCTGCCTAAGCTGTGAGAGACTGTCTCACAAAAACAAAAACAATGTGCTACCACCAAAGAAGCACACAACCCTCACAAGAACATGCATCTCCCAGCCTTCACCGTGGATGCCAGCCTCTACAACTATCGGAAACTTAACTTCCACATAAACTACCCAGGCTCATGCCAGGCGCAGTGGCAGACATGTAAGCCCAGCGCTCCGGAGGCAGACACAGGAACAATACATTCTAGAAGTGAACGGAGGTGCTGGCTGCAGTGTATTTAATACCACTGAATTGCACCCCTAAAATCAGTTAACATGAGACGGTGTGATAGGCACACATTTAATCCCGATACATGGAGGAGGCAGAAGCAAGCAAGTCCCTAGGAACTGAAGGTTCCTGGTCTGCACAGAAAGCTCCAGGCCAGTCAGCACTGCCTGGAGACCGCGTCCAAAACAATTAAGACGAGAGGTGTCCTACCTGCACTCCTTGACCACTTGGTGAATGTCGAACTCAAAGGCTGCCATCAAGATGCTATCTAGGGGTTCCGGACTGCTTTCACCTCCCAGAAACATGTCCAGGCTGGACTGCAGAAAGGTGATGGAACACTCAATCTCCAAGATGGAAGCAGAAACGGGGTGGGGGAGCACAGGACTGCTGCACGGGATGTCTGGAGAGGAGTTCCTTCCCAAAGGGCGGAAGTAAATAACCTTCCTGTTGCAAGGAGGCCACACTGAGAATTAGGGTGCCAAGGAATCCCCCCAAACTCATTCACTCACCTGAGCATAGTAGTGCAGGTCAATGGGTTTCACTGTGGGGTTAGAATATAGCAGCCTTGTCACTAGGAAATGATACCAGTTGCTCAGAAGCTCCTTGTGCTCCAACAGGGTAGCTTCGTCCCCCAGCATTATCTGAGGAGAGACATTCTCTGAGCTGTCCCCACAGAGAAGACTGATTCATCTGAGGCCATGGGTCTCAATTAGAAGCTCAAAGTTCCCTCCTTCACAGGTGACTTAGCCCTCTCCAAAGAAAAGCCGGCTCCTAGATGCCTGGGATGCCAGGGTCCCAAGGGAAGTCCCCAGCCCTGACCGGACCCGCCAGCCCTGACCGGACCCCGCCAGCCCTGACCGGACCCGCCAGCCCT